TGTCGTGTCGGAGTTTTGGCCTGCAGCCACGGGTCCTGTAGTGGGTCCGTTGCGGGCGCCGTGGGCCACTCCGTACTCGTGGGGAGCTCCTTGTAGGCCGCCTCCCGCGCGTACCGGCCCCCTGTCGACGCCCGGCACTCCTCCCGCCGCGCCGCTAGGTTGTCTTTCCGGCACGTGTATTGCCCACACAGTGGCACGTGGGCCGCGCGTGCTCTCTTCGAGGCCGCGAACACCTCTCCACACGTGTCGCACCGTACCAGACCTTGCTCGCGCAGCGACTCCGCGGAGATGGCCATGCGCTCGTGCTTCTGGTGCACCGCATGTATGTGCGACCGCAGCCCTTCCCCGCGTCGGGCTCCGTCAAACACGTGGTGGCATCCCCCCGCCAGACACGCCACGGGGTCGGCCATGGCCCCCACGTAGGCGTGACAAAACGCGGCCGCGCCTGTCTGCGGGTGTCCCTCCGTTGTGACGGCGTCGTCCTCCACTTCGGACTCCGCCCGGAGTGTCGGGTCCTCCTCCACAGTCTCCCGCGCGCCGGGCTGCGCTTCCCGCAGCTCCTCCTCCGGGCCCTCCTGGGCCGCATTCACGTCCCCGGTGATCGGGGACTCCCAGCGGCGCTGCTCCCGGGAGGGGGGCGGTGTGAGGAAAGGGTCGAACGGCGCCGCCAACACCTGCCGTCGCGCAGGTTGTCCGTAGCGCACGCGGCCGCGGCCGTCGCTGCCCAAAGAGGGAGGCACGGCCCCTCGGGCTGCCTGTGCGCGGGTCTGAGGCTCGTCCTCCTCGGCGTCGTTTTCGTCCTCTTCCGCTCCCATGCCACACCCATAGTCCGGCGTGGCGCGCCGGTGGTAGACGCAGAGAACGACCTTACGCGGATTCAGTGGTCCCGGGTGGGGCTTCTGCACCATCCCGTCGATCATCTCCCACGCTGTGTTCGTCGTGGTCGTCGGGATGTACGCCGCCACGTGGGTCGGGGACGTGGTGGCGACGACCCCCATCAGGGCGTACTCCGCCGTACCATTTTCGTGCGGGAGTAACAGTTCGAATGGGATCTCATCGACTCCCATCGACTTGCCCCCCCAGTGGCCAAACTCCATTGCCACTGCGTCGGCGAACACGCGACCGGTCGTGCGTGTCATGACCGTGGGGGGGTGCTGTTGCCCCAGTGCGGAGGTCGAGCACAGCTGCGTCGCCTCGAGGCGTGTCTCCCGGTAGTGCTGCGTGAGCAGTGCCGGGGTGAACTGCACCGGTGCGTGCTTTCCCGGTCGCAGCGTGATGATGGCCGGGCCGCCCTCTGGTGCGGGGTGTTCCTCCCGCTCCATCTTTCCACAGACTGAACAGCTTGTCCCCTCCACGATGGTGGTGCGGAACATGTGCTGCATGGCCGGGTCCTTGGTGATGAGCTCTTCCAAGGCCGTCGTCGGGGCCATGGGGAGTTCCACCCCCATCGCCTGGATCAGCTCCGCCGTACTGTTTGTACTCGGAGTGACGAAAGTCCGTCGCACTACCGGGGCGTAGTGCCGCTCCTCCTCCGCATGGGAAAGGACTGCCAGTACGGCGTTGACGGCGCACGAGTTTGGCACTGGCCTCGTGCGGTGCCCGCCCGCGGATACCCTGTACGGGTAGCAGCGCTCCTTTTCGGGGTGTGTCCCTCTGCAGTGACGGAACACCTCCTGTTCGGCGGCGCGGTTAAACGCACACGCTGGGCAGTGGAAGTTTGCCGTATCCTCGTAGAGGGCCGTCCACCATTTCGCTCTTGTGCCTAGCGCCCGCGTGTAGTGAAGGTATTTCTCCCCCACCGCCGCCTCTTCGAGAGCCGCCATCGCCTCTGCAATGAGGTACGGGTTACCCCTCGACGTCGGCGGGATCGCCGACGGAGTCGTCGTACGGCGCGCCGCGTCTGCAGTGACTGGCGCGTGTGGCCGGGCCACCTTGTTCCATGGGTTGGCCGTCGTTTCCCATGGTTTTTTAAGGGAGATCCACGCGGACTCCCCTTGCGGTTTCGAGGGCGGTGCCCCCCCGCGGACGTGCCGCGGGATTCGCTGCTCCGGGCGGCCGCGGACGCTCTCGGGATGGCCTCTCGTCGGGCGGTTGTGTGGCCGCAGTGGCCCTGGCAGCCTCGCGTTGGCGATCTGGCGCTTGCCCTGTCGATCGCCCGCTGCCGTGCGCGGAACCGGACGGTTCTGCTGTGGTGGGGTTCGGCGCGGCCCCGTGTCCTGGCGGCCTTGCGCCTTGGCGATGTGGCGTACTGCCTCCGCCGTTGCCGCCGCGATGATGGCCTGCAGCGCCCCAGCGCTCAGGCCCGCTGCCGGTCGGTACTCGACCCTTGTGGTGCCGGGGGGCGCGGCGTCTTTTTTCGCCCTCGTCCGTGGTAGCGTAACGGTTCGCCACCCTCCTTTTTCGGCCTGTTTTGGTCCGTTGGCCCTGGGTTCAACCCCGGTCTGGGTCATTGTTTTTCTCCCTCCGGGGTGGGGCATTGTGCTTCCCGAATAGGGTCGGACAAAAGAAAAAAAAACTTAAAAATTTGAATATTTATTTTTTATCCTATCTTGTTTTAAATTTATTTTTAATTTATTAGATTCCTCAGGTGGTGCTGAGGTTTCTAAACACAGTGGGGTATACAAAATTGTTTCGTTTTCACAAATGTTTCAACGGCGCGAAGTTGAAACAATGTGCAATTTTTATCCCCTAAACCCCTGTGTTTTGGCTGTGGCGGTGTGTGTGTCGGACAACTGGGTAGAATCGCCCTCCTTCTCTGTATCCCACTTGGTAGTCTCACCGATGTGGATGTTGTAGAGTTAGTTTTAGAGGCCGTCGCCTCAAAAACCCAGAGAAATTCTCACCTGCCACAATCCGGACTTTTGGAGGATGAGATGTACTAACCCCTTGGAAGTATTCTCACCGAAACGGTTACTGCTGCGATTCTCCTAATTATTTTTAAGTCCGCTAGGGCCCCCCGTGGGTATATAATATTACCACAGTTTGGATAGCCCCGCGCCAGAAATTCTATTTGTACCCTGACGTCAAGGTGTCCGGAAGGGTCTCTTTTTTTCGCAGGGCAGGCCTGCTTGCCGGAGATTTTTCCGAAAT